TATTTGACAGTTGTAAACATTAATTTAATACGTCTAGTGGTTAAATTCTGTCATCTCAAGTTATTCGAAAAAAATGTTTCAAACGAAAGCTGTATGGTATGAAGAAAGTCGTGCGTAATAGTTAGTGTAATAACAATTACATATAGTGTAATAACAATTGAATTCCGAGGTGACAGAGATAAGTGACTTATACTATATTATATGTTGATATATATATACGTACTGTATATTTAAAAAATCGTAATTTTAAATCTGCATTTCTCTAAACACAAAATCTCATTACTATCATAATGCACATTATATTATACATACAAAAACGATTTTCCAGCCTTTATTATTCAAAACTTTCTAAATTTGACGCATTCTCAAATATCTCTCTATTGCTTTAATTATTGAACATGATAACGTGTGCAGTTCCACGAAATAGCGTATAATTAATTCGAATTATTGATCAAATTAATTAACAGGATCGTTATAAGCGTCAAAACTGTAAATGGATGGAATTTATCAAACAATTATAAACGTACATTGTTCAAACTAACGTGAAACAAGTTTACTTTAATGGTGTCGAATACAAATTTGATTGAACAAGTGTTTCTGGTCCATGCTTTATTAAGTGGTGCAATTAGTCGTATTATTAATCAGAATTATTATTGAAGTACATATATCTAGAGATTATTTTAATTACAATGAACGATTGTGTTGAAGTGTTATGTATGCCTTGGTTATCTTTGCTTTAGTAATTGTAAATGAGACAGTTCACACATGAATGAAAAGTGATAATTATATTTGGTACAGTTTTCTTCCTAAATGATGGATAAATTTGTTACGCTTATTTATCCTGATATTACTGATATAACTTTTTTCATCTAATAATCAAAGGGAATGAAATTGTTAGTTAAATTCAGTTACTTCATATATTAATATTCTCTATACTATCTCGTTACTTTTAACTTTAACTTAATAACTTTTTCGTACAATTTGTCATATGTTAAATATTCTTTGTCATATGTTAAATATTATTTGTCATATGTTAAATATTTCTTTGTCATATGTTAAATATTCTTTGCAATTTGAATACTTACCTTACGTGCATCGTTAACCGTATTCGGAAATATCATTTAAGAAAAATGAAAAACAATTTTAAACAATTTGACATAAAATATAAATAAAACACAAAAAGATTCGATCGATCGAGTGATTCATAATTTAAAGAAATTTGACATGTGACAGGTAGTAAATAAATACACGTTGCCAAAAATCTTCCTTCATACATTAAATTTTTATTTTGCGTATAAAGTTAAAATTAACATAAATTTTAATGACCATTACATATTTATTAGAGTTTCCAGTATTTTACATCGAAACAATTTCATGCAGTGACAATTTATGATAAGATTGATAACACATTTCTCTTGTTGCGTCACTTCTATTCTGTACGAATAGATTTTTTTCTTCTTCCTTTTTTTCATAGTTGAAACATTGACATTTGCAATTAATGTGACTTACTTTACTATAATGTATTCTTATCCTCATACATCTTATCCATGTTTAGTGTAAGAACAAAAAGGAAACGACGAAGCTAATTGCATATTGCGTTAATACAACCGTAGGACAATTATAAACATTTTTATTATTTATTATTTATTACTTATTACTATCACAGTTAGATAAAATATTTATTTTCTCGAAATGAGCCTTTCCGTAGCGTTATATAAAATTAGAGGGCAACATGAGATATATTTTAACAACGGATCCTTTAACTCTTTATAGTTTACCGTTCAGAAATTCTGAACGTTATGTTTCGATTGAACAAGTCCAGTCGTTTTGGACAGATTTCATTGCTGTGCTTATGTTTCTATCTCTCGCGTTTCATTCTATTTTATTTATTTTATTTCCAAAATTCATTTGGACCTGGCTATCTCTAATAAAATTACTGCAACAAAGTCAAAGGATCGCAAAAGATTATTATAATAACATTATAATATTATATTATTATAATTTGTTACTATCGCGTCGTAGTATAATATTACAACATTACATTATAATAATTAGAATAATATTATAAAATTAATGTGAACAAATATTTAGCGATAACTCGAGCTATACGATTCTTTTGAGCATAATGGTAGCGAAATCGTATATGTCGTTTATTTCAACAAACAGAATTTTTAACAATTAGTAACATTTTTAATTAATAGAAACGTTTTCTTCAGGTTATGCGCGAATATTTGATCAATTTTTGAGAAGGATAGTACGAAAATTTGTTATCTATACGAAATTAATTAAATGTTCAATTCCTTAACTTTACACGACTGAAATGATTACAAATTATTACTTTTTGGCATCGATGTTCGCAGATTTTTCAATTCAATTTCTCTAACATTTAAATGTTACAAAATTATACAATAAAGAAAGGTACTATTATTTAATTAGGCCTTAATCGTCTACCTTTCTACATTCTTATTATTTGCCATAATTTGTCGGTCAATCTTTTCTTATGTTAATAATAAGTATCTTCTACATTTTTTATATTATTATAATACTTAATAATTAGATGTTTCTTTTAGTTTTTACGATTAGATCAACAACTTTCGTTCAGATTGCGTTAAAAAAATTAAGTATATACATACTTAATAAAATTTATAATAAGTATGTGTATACCACGGAAGTAAATAGTACGGAGAATCTTTTACAAATGATTCAAATTGCAGAGTCCTTAACACTTTGAGTCACGAATGCTTATGTTTTTCTTGTGTGGAAATAGATAATATAATTTGAACACTTTCACAATGTGAACACAAAATGTGAAAAGTAAACTACGAGTATACAGTGATTATTAAATTTCAAGTTCAAACAATTTTTAGAAGTTAAATTTAAAAAGTATTACAGACATCTTTGTAACATATTAAATGTTAAATGAATACATCTTTTAATCGAATTTGAAGTAGTTTGAAAGTCAACGAAACAATCAACTGTCAATATGGATGTAACAAAAAAAAAAAAAGAAAAAAAATGACAAGAATTATACGTTTTAAATAGTAATTGTAAACTTAAATTTTTCTATTTCTGTAAACTTATTTAAGAGAAAGGAATATCCTGTAGATTTATCAATTAAAATTAAAAATAGTGACGCGACATTGGAAATCATAGTCGAAGGAAATTGGTGTAAGGTATAAAATTCTCAAATTGGAAAATTTGAATCAATAAATTGATATTGTTTCAATATTATTGCGAGGCTCTTTTCCTTTATTACGAGGTTTTTAAATTAAATTTGACTTTACTTCAACATTAATAACAAGACAAATTATATTGACATTAGAATGGAATAATCGCTGAATTCATGTTGAATATATCAATGTCATTAATATAAACGTAAATTTCGATAGGAGATAGTATTTATATGAATAATTATTTAGGTGGTTGATAATAATAGCTAGAGTTAAGCTGCAAATTATATATTAATATTTGGATACTAAATATTAGAATTGTTATCATTTTGTAAAAAGAAATCGTACAACAATAAACTTAGGCTCATACCTTAAAATTAATATTTTTTTTCTTGAAAAAGCTATTATTAATTATTACAGTATGTAAAAACATTGAAAAAACTTTTTGACAATCTACAATGGATTCGTTTTTCGATTTTCTTTTTTACAAAATTTTTACAAAATTATAACAATCTCAGAATTTAGTGTCCGAATATTAATGTGAGTCGCTCTATGTGAAAGCACGTTAACATTAATTAGGAATGAGTTAGGTAATAGAAAGTGATAATTTTATTGGACGGAAATCTCTTGCATTATAAATTATAAAAGCTGATTCACCTAATTCTGTCATCTTAAATTACTCGTAATTCGTTTGTTATATAAAAGACTATTACAACAAAAGTTATATCGTATTAACCGTCAAGTGTCAAACTCAAATGTTATACATATTTAAAAGACCCAAGATAACAAATTACAACTTTTGCTTGATATATTTTTTCACATAACAAATGATTTGCAAATGATATAAAGTGACAAAGTTGGTGACTCATCCATATATCACGAAGATGTCAAGTTTGAAGTAAATTAGCTAGAAAATTTTTTTAGCTACTATATATATGTTTAAACTTCTTTATGTATACGAGTATCGAGTACAAGTACATTATAAAATATATCATTGTGTTAATTTATTGCATCAAATAGTATAAAATCTGTAAAATTTGACGCGCGTATATTGAACAAAAGTAATGTGATTTTCGTGTACTGGATTTATTTGCATCTCGAGTGTATGTTAAATTGCAAATAACAGCGACATGAAACACAAATGGTGCAGTGTAAAAAGCGAAAAAATTATATCGTGAATGCGACGAAATGATTCTTATGCAAAAAGATATTAAATTGTGCACATTTAAAAGAACAATTGCTAATGCATTTTAAAGCGTAGCGATAGTTATTCTCATTAATTAACTTCCAGAAAAAATAAAAATCATATAAAATTTATATTACCATGATAAAATTTATCTCGTATATTTTAATTTCAATAGTCCTTACAAAGATATTTGTAATTTGTTTCATGTAATTCATTTTTTCAAATTTAAACCGAGACTCAAAGGGTTAAAAGCAATATATTACAAAGAATATTTTTGAAAAACACAATTTACGATGTGTTTCACTGTAATAAAACTATGTGTATTATGTAATCCCCGATTTTTCGAATATTTTAATATGATTTTCGAACGTTATAACACCAGAATAGAATATCTATTAACAATGGATGATCCTTTAGTTACTATCAGATATTCCACTCTGATATTATAATATTCAAATACAATAGAAACTTCCACTATCAGGGAAACAAAAGTGTTCAGTTAATGGAATTTTGGAATAACGAGCGACCAATTTTTCGATACTAAATTATATCGGAAAATATGTCGAAATGAAGACTGGGAAGATTATTAATTTATTCCAATATTTAAAAACGTTATATATTTTTCAACCATTGAATTACCTGACTCTTTTTTAAATATGAATAATTTTCTTCAGTTCTTTTTGTACTTCAAACCATCGAAATCCTTCCTTTTGTCGATTTTTATGTTCTCTTAATATTTCAATCTTTCATCCCGTAGTTTAGTAAATTCTTTTTGCAATTATGAAAAGCACGTTAAGTCTGCAATGAAGATATATCTGTAAACTGACAGAAGGAAAGGCATTTATCGTTAATAAATATTATGTTCGTATAACAGAACGTTCCGATAGTGTGATAATATTGTATTAAGATATTGGAAAAATAGAGGATTAGAACGTATCAGTTTTCTATCATCAGTCGTAAAGGAAATTAAGATTGTCCACGCAAGATGGTCTCGACGAACAACTCTGTAGATCGTTATTTGATAAAGGAACCCTGTCGTTGGATGGACGCCAAGATATCTTTAAGAAAAAATCGTCCTGTTCGTTACCAGTGTATAGTAATGGAACGTTTGTTCTCGGACTTTCTTTACAACACGCGTTCTGCCTGTACTAGACGCGATCCTCCTCCTCCAGGAGTCGCACCACCTCTGAAAGCAAAGTTTTCCCATGATTTTGACGAATGATGATCACGTTTCTTAAAGAATTGAATCGTATTCTGTCGGATGAAAGTTTCAATTTTCAATTAAATGATTGGAAATATATTTGAAATAAACATTCAGACATGCAGTCTACTCGCTATATTTTCTTTCGGTATTAAAATTTATATATTATATTAAGATATTAAAAATGTATCGTAGAATTTACATACTAAGCCTACGTTAATTGTTATACAAAGAGTATCTATGTCAGATTTGATAAAGATATTTTAATGTGTCTTTTTCATCTTAACATTGCAATAATTATCTCTACAAGATACACATTAGTAATATCACAAAGTACATGTATTTAAAAAATGTATGAACGTATAGAGAAGAAATTACATTAGGAAATTGTAAGGTATTGTATAAATTATATCTTAAATTTCTTAAGTACTTTTTAACGAAATAGAAGCACAATTCACAAAAATTTTGGACATTTTGGAATTTTGCAAGAATTATTCGAATATCACAAACATATTTATAACGCTCCCTAATTCAAACTTAACAGATCGTTTTCAATATGGAACGTTATTACTACCATTCATTATTCCATTTATTAACCTTTACTTTACTGATTTCATTTTATTTCGTTTCTTCATCGTTCGATTGCTTCAATGCCTCGGATATTGGTTTTAAATATGCAAATTAATATAAATGATCCACAGCGTAAAATACATTTTATTTATTGCACAGAATGAAAAAAAAAATTCAATTACAGTACCGGATCTGGTGACAAGGGATGCTTTCGCAAGGTAAACTGTCGATTCGTTTCCGCTTAGCTCGCTGTTGTTCCCAACTTGAGCCGCATTTCTTGTTGAAGCCATAGCAATATCGCTGTTCCTACAACCTACTCTGAATTTTAAACAGAAATTTTCATGTCAAAGAATACATTAATAATTTCGTTCACGTGTGAACACAACCTTTTCTATATGATAAAATCGAACTGACGAGCTTGTTTCCAATAACGTTTGACGCTTTTCACTTACAACCGTGAAGAAATGTATTTCATGTATTGCACGTATCGATTACATTACTTTTGAGTGAACTATTCTTTTTGAGAATTAAGGAACAATTAAACGACCGTGCCGTTGATATTTCAGTTTCGTCATGAATCATTCATACAGTTCATTTACAGTGGCAAATTATTTACTACTTGTATCGACAAAAATTCTCGATAAAAGACTAAAAATTTCCAACGAAGAATTTTGTTTATTAGATGATTGATTTTCTAACAAAGGAGATTGAAACTAAATTCTGACTTGAAAGATCACTTATCCATATGTCTGTCAACTTTTAATACTAGTACTTAGGTATGTTATATGTATAATTGATTAAAATTAAAGCAACATGACGGAAATTAATAACTCTGTACTTCTAACTGCAAAAACAAAAAATTTGGTGTTAGACGCCTTAATTGATTTAATGTGATTTAACTTTTATTTTATTTGCACGTCATTACGTTGGTATATCATAGTATTAAACTGGTATCGTGTAATTTATATTTCTACAGAGTGGGCCAAAAGTTTCTTCCCACCTATTTTTTTTTAAATAAAAGACTAAATTAAATTTCTGTTATAGTAGAAAGTTGATTTTTCGCCCACCCTGTATAAACGATGACAGTGAACAAAAAAAACTTTTGGTTGTGTTCCCTCACGTTGCTCGTCACGTTCAAGTTCTCTTCATTTTTCAATTTTTACCGAATATATTATACCGAGCGTCAAAGAGGGAGAAAATTACACGCGGTTCATTTTACTAAAACGATTTTTTACGTAAACGGATTGACGCTCGAGAGGGAACTGAAGTTATGAGAACCAGTCTCGTTTACCTCCAACAACGATGACAGTCGAAAAGGCCAAGGAAAGCCTGCCGAAACTTCCGATTCATGAAGCAATACGTGATAGGATTACAGCAACTGGAAATGTAGGCAAGCAACTGTACCAAACTGATGCCCGTACTTCCAACCGTGGAATACACAAGATCTGGCGTGAAAAGATACCAGGTATTAATCACGTGCAACGGTGCCCAACAGACGAAAAATTCCAGCACGATGACAAACAGCATCCTGATCACCTGAAAATCAAACGTTAACAGTTCTCTCACTGAATGAATTGTTCCCTTTGTACAGCGAGATCTTTGAATGATTTTAATTCTTAACGATTAACTTGTCATCAAAACCGATCTTTTCTAGTTCTGTTCGGTTAAACTCAGTTCGTTTGATCTCAGTCGATTTAAATTTAAAATTCAGCATATAGTCTTCAAGCTTAGTTCATGGTATAGTTTTCGGCGTGAACTCAGAATTTGTGAAAATTGTGAAAGAGTGTTAGTAACAAAATTTACATTTAACTTCTTAACCGAGGCTTAAAGTCCTCATTGGCGTGTTGGACGAGTTAATAATTGATCCAAGAATTTTGAAAATTTTCAAATTTTTCAGTGACGTGTTAACTTATCAATTCTGGTTTAAAATGAAAAATAAAATGTCTCTTGTGCATAGTAAAATTATTGCAAGGCTGTTTCCTTTTTAGTGGTTTCATCAATACAATCTGACTTACATATTTCTTTTTTTTTTATTTTTTCTTTTATAATAGGATGTTTATGTGCGTTTCTTTTCTTCTGCGTCCAATAGTATGATTATAGAAATGAAAAATGAGAATTTTACACTTTGATGAAAATTAGAAAAACAATTGCGATTCGTAAAAAAGGCGATGTGCATAATTTAATTTAAATTCACGTATCACTGGTGCAGGTATGTGCTGTGTATCTATATTCTGTCACACTGTGATAACTATGATAATGATTAATCAGTGGTACAGATGATGTGTTCCGAAAAGGATGCGTTGGTTTTATTATTCTCTGTGTTTGATGAAGATAAATCTTTGTGTTTAACTGAACCGTGAAGAGAGTCACGAATAAACGATTTTGAATGAAATTTAAAATTGAAGTTAAATAGAGGAATACATGCAATAATATATGTAAAATTTATGTAGTAATTTGTTACAAAAAATCTCGATTAGACTTAATTTGGATAAAGGAATTCAATTTCGTTGGATCTCCTCTTTCATAGAATCTTCTTTTGCATTTCATATCAATATCTTTGAGGATTATGACATGTAAGTGCGAAGTACTTGGGCTTTATTGGTTTTCATATAAAACTCGACAGCGCTTCCATTCGTGAAAAATTCTTTTCTTAAGAATTATACCAAACTAAATGTGCTTTTTAAATTAATAACTTTTAGTCAATGGGTACGTGGAATTTCAAAAGAAATAATGACCTTTTAAAATAGCTGAATATTTTATTTATAATATCTTTTAAGTATTGTTTAAATATTAATTACAAAATTACTGATTGTTGTTGAATTAAATATAAATTGCTTTATATATGAAGTAATTTATATAATGAATTCAACTAATTTGATAAACAAAATATCAGGCATTAAAATCGTAAACAAAAAGTAAGAGGAGGGTTTGAATAAAAATTCTTAAATCTCCATATTTATGAATTTCGTATATATATATATATATATATATATATATATATATATATATATATACCGAAGAAAACGTGGATTGAAATAAAATTCAAGTATTTTTTTAATGCAAGCTTAATCTCTTCGTGTCCGAGAGCAAAATATCTCACCACGCTGTTCATAATACGCTTTAGACAAGGTATGTTTCAATGCAATACTCAATCATTCATAGTACAATGAAATACTTCAAATATTAGAAAAATAAAATTCTTTGTTTGTGTAAGGACAAGAATATTTTTTTCATTTAACATTACTTATCATTCTCATATTTAACGTGATATTCTACGAATTCGAATCATTGGACGAAAGAGAGAGAGAGAGAGAGAGAGAGAGAGAAATGAATTATCTGTGACTGAACGTATACCAGATACGATGATTATTATAATTCTTCAAAACTCTTAAAAACGTTAGGAAGAAATAAAGAAAAGAAATTTAACAATGGAGAGGAAAATATTATATATATAAATAGAATAGCTTTCTTTATTTCACCATTTTAGTGAATATTTCTGATTAAAATTCATAAAACCATATCGAACTCTATTTTTCAAAAAGAACTTCTAGTTTTATATTTACAAGAAGAGATTGAACAGAAAAGATTCAACTGTATGTGCGCTATATTATGAAGATAGAATTTTAAATTAATACGTAATATTATGGAAGTGATATCTTAAGAAGGTACGAGCAAGGGATCAATCAATCATTTATGTAGCATCAAGAAATTCATTTAAGAAATAATACAAAGTTCAAAATCTGATCGAAAAGAATAATTTAACTATGGATTTTTATGAAAATTTATAGTTTTATAAGCCCAATTAAATAAATAAAAATTTTAAAAAAGATATTTTTAATTTTGGTTTCTTATATTTTTTGATATTTCACATGTACGTATGTTCTCATTTACATGTCTACAAATTATAAATTGTACGTATGAAATATATATATATATTTTTGCATCTTTCAATTTACAATCATAGCTGTATCAATTTAATAACAATTAAACTACGAATTTCCATGGAAATTTATATCTTTACTAGCTCATTTAAATAAATCAAATTTAAATAGACATTTTTAAATATACAGATCTACTATGCAGATTTTTGTGTAGCAAATTTTAAAGCGTAAAATTGCATGATGTAACAGTCAGAGTATGAAAAAATTTGCAGAATATTAAAAACACAACACTTTCTATGATATTTCGCAGGAGAAACAATTTTCTATCGTGCTTCTATTTGTTGTAACTATATTTTCAAGAAATATTAATTTCCATAAAAATCCGCAGTCTAATTACATTACTCTAATTTGTCATCTTTAAATTTCACACAAGTGTACAGAGACATCGAAATTTATAAATGACAATTATGAAAGTGATCGTAAAGTAATCAGAAAGCTGTGTTTTCTTAAAATATCGTGTCTTCTTTCATCACGTACCTTCTTCTTGGCTTCGACACTTTTGCCTATGTAATTGCTGCGTATTACGTGCTGTCTGTTGAAAGAATAGGCTGTGTCCTGTTGCTCCTCGCAGCCAGGATCCTTCAAGTCTCTCGACAGACAGTTACTTCCATTGCTGGGAACTTGCACTCCCGACTCGTGAGAATAATCTGGCCCTTGACATTTCCCCCCAAAGACCCTGGAGATCCTCATTCGCGGGACGCGTACCTTTTTAAAGAGATTGCGAATGACCTAGTTAATTCTTGTAAACAACATTTCGTCAAGCTAGCTTATAATTTAATAGCTTCCGACGTGCACTTACATCGCGGTGTATTAATAAGAATATTACTTCAGGTTCGATATGCTACGTGAAATTTAATTTGCGAATCGCAGGACCAACAGTATCCACCAACGATTGGAAAACTTTGACACTGTTAACAACTTCGCGACAATACGCGTGTAATATCAAATGAATTTAATAAGTTTCAATCCGTGTTTCGGCGGATTTCTGTGCATTCATGGAAAATTTAGAGGCACAACAATGTATAGAATGTAAGAAAAAGTGTAAAGTATCGAAAATAGCTTTATAATACATTTTCACAAAATTTGCATAAAAATCCGCAGCCTAATGATTAAATGTTAATAATTTTAACCTGCTAGCTAGGGTAAGCAAGTGATTATGTAATCAATCTCTTGGATATAATAATTATCTTATTGTTAAATGTTATTTGACATTAGAACTACCAAAATGGTCAAAATGGAGATTTTGATGACAGCGATATATTTCCAGAAGTTTGAGTAATTTTTTTAAAAATATAAATGTAAAAATCTCATGTTCTTCATCGTACTATAACTTTTTCCCACTTCTTGTACTTTCGTTATCTTGAAACAAATTTTCCACCCCAGTAGCTCCAATGAGAAATATTGTATAAATATTAAAAATAAATATTTTATACACATACACTCGAAACTGCGCGAATGGAGGAAAAAAGAAATCCTAAAAGGAAAAATAAGTTACAGAAATATTAATGAGAAAAACGAATAACAATGAAAATTCAGAAAAATCGAAATAAATTTTATTCACTGTGAGTGTGTCAATAAATTGCGATCGAAAACAATGAACCCAAACACCAGAAATGATCAGAATGATATAATTAATACAGTTGAATAAAAATTTCAATAAATATACAGGGTGTCCCGTTTTAACTTCCTAGAACAAATAACTCAAAAGATATAAATAAACATGTTTTCACAATCAATTGTAGTTGATATATGAAAACATATTTTGGAAAAGACGAAATGTTTTGTGTTATGAAAGGAAATAGACACGTACGATGTATGTACATACGATAGGATTCCTAGGCAGTGTGAAATAAGATCGCGTAAATTGACACAAAACACCCGCGTAAATGAAGGGATCATTTACGGACTAAAAGAGATTATTTACTAACGAAGAGATAAAAGTAAAAAAGCGCTGTGTAAAGCGAGGCTTGAGTTGTAGTCCATTCGCCTGTTTTTAGTTGAACAAGTTGCTCGTTTTCGACTTACAATTGCCCAAAGCAAACGATTCTCGATTAATCACGTTAAAGCACGTTTTCATCAAGCAACTCTCGCTGGGCGCGATTGAATCGACTGACTTTCATTCATTTAAAATTACTTATGCACATACAAAAGAATTTCTACTTGGCGAAACGATTTCTGCTTGATCAATAGGAAGACGACCATTCTTGATTTAGGAGTTTGGCGATTTCAACTACAATTGATCGTGTAAATAGTAGGGAGTCAATTGATTTGACGTTACAAAACTGTGATCATAGAATCAACTAAATTAAATTAATTACAGGCAAAATATATACATCACAATGATCGGCAAAGTGTTTGTAATAATCTTTTGTAATAGTCCTTTTAAACGACTTGTAGTTAATCGATTTAATCGAGGTGAGAGTTACGTAGCTTTTGAATATCTCTTTGATGAAACGGTTAAAATTTATCGGGAAATCGAATCTACTATTTGCAAAACAATATGCATAAAGTATTGAGGATTCTTTTAAATTATGAATCGTATAAAATTATGTTTCAATAAATAAATTTAAGATGTGATTATCTTAAATTTAAATATTTTATTCTAAAAGTGTAAAACATTCGGAAAAATTTAAAAAAAAATCAAAATTTTTGTTTCATCAATAAAATTATATATCACAACACTTTCAAATTGTGTATTGTATAAAAATTTTGACATTAGTATAAGTTTTCAATCAACAGTAAGCTAAAAGTAAAAATGCTTTTGAGAAATAATATAGATGTTACATTATAATTTTGTGGATGTGTTACATTTTAAAAATATAAAATATTTAAGACCGTTAATTTGGTTGGTTAAAAATACGTGAAAAAGCAATAAAAAGTATTAAATGTATTTATACATCGTAACATATTTCAAAAATTTTAATATTTTTACTTAACTCTTTCAACTCTCAGTTTCTATTATTTGATCGGAAGCATATTATCAAAGTAAGTACGATAAAATTATTTCTGGTCTGATTCATTTTGCTTCCTTTGTTAAAGTATTAATAGTGCGGTATAGGTATGCTCTTTCAGCAAAGATAATGCGTTTCTAGTTCATTATATACACACAAATTAAATTCACTCGCGGTAGATAAGAAACTATATACATGACGAAACTAGCAATATGATCAAGTCGAAACTTTTATGCGTGTATATTCGAATTTAATGAGAACATATAAAGCAAATAATATATAGAATCTATTTTTCAAAATTGATTTACTAATATCTTAAACTTATTTACAAAAAATGAATTTACTACAAAAATTTACTACAAAAATGAAGAACAAGCTTCTAATTAAAATATATCCAATTATTGTTAAATATCATTGTTAATATCAGCGCAGAGAGCAATGTTACAAATTAAATCATACAACTGACAACATACGTTCTTTAACGTTTCTGTCACGAGTCAATTAAATAATTTTAATTGAAAACGTGTAGAGTTAAAGCTACAGTGTGAAGTAATAAATTCGTTCAAACCAGAAATCCCTATTACACGTATTGCACATGTTGCATTTAATATCACGGATAACGTTTTAATCCGTATAGTGTTTAATACACGTGTACATAAAATCAGAGCTGTAGCAAAATATACGAACGAAAATAATACACTAACGTATATAAGGTTATTAATGTAGTATAAGATAAGAGTATAAAAGTATAAGACATTTGTACACGTTTTGGAATAAATATATTCATATACATTGTTGAAAAATATTTAACAGCTTGCTTTTATTTTTATACGCTTTTCCAAGCGTTGAAAATATTGTGACAACCAAAAAATGGAATCCTCTGTTGCCAGAAAATATTCATCTATTAGTAAACCAGATAATTGCTTTTTATCATTATTTCGAATCATATGTCATATATATTTTTTTATCCTACAAATTTATTCTGTTAATTTTATGTTTCTTTAATCTAATCTATAATTCATAATATATATTTGTTTTGGAAATTAAACGCGTACGTATTTACATATTCGAGTAACCTCTCACATGTTAATAATTACGTAAAATAAAATTCTAATATTAATAAATCCGCATTATATATTTTAATACACGTGTATTAAAAGCTACACGGATTGAAGGACGAAAATATTCGTTGCACGTGTATTTTTAATACACGTTCAACACTATGCCCTTTGATTCACGAAACAGATTCTACAGTAATTATAAAAACGCATGATATTATTAACGCAAATATTCAGATTTATTTTATGAAACAAACTTTCTACCTACCTACGTAATAGAAAGGAATTAAACATGCACGTGTAAAATTTTAATCGATACCATATTACAGAATTGATTTCTTCTCATTCAATCGTAAGATAATCTGAATAATGAACAATAATACTTCATAACCAATATTAGGGGTTCAAATTATCGCACGGACGAATAATTCCTATGAACAATCATTCTCTTTCAACGTTCCGGACTGTGAGTGCCGTGCTCTTCTATATAATCCTCGTATCGTTAGGCATTTTTATCTTTTCCATTTGGTGTTCTTGCAGATAATATTTTCGGGGCAAAAGTGAAGTCTCTAAATTTTTTCATGCTAAATTATCCAACAATTACAAAGCAATTTGGCAAATTGCAAGCTAGTTAACTAATTGTTGAGATAATAATTTGGATTGTGTTGAAGAATAAAATTTACGTGCATCACGCAAAAAATGCTTCGATATAATACGTTTATAGAGATCTGATTTTCTCATATTCTCAATGTTAATTCGAATTGAGAAGATTTTCAATATTCATTTCGCTTATAAAGAAACACAACTTAAAGTGTTAATTATTAGTCTTACATAGATCTAGGTATCAATTAATTGCATTCAATAATAATATTAATTCTTCTGATAAAGAAATAGAGCTGTAAATGTTCTTTTATTTAAAAGCTTATTCAGTTAATCAGAATGTTAAGTGTATTTATAAAGTCGTATTAAATTCAATCGTAGAATTATCCTAAAATTTAGCGGAATTTACAGAATTATATTTTGTAGTGCGAACATAGTGGGTTTAAATAGTAATTTAAACATTTTGAAGTAATCTTCTTCATTACGGATCCAAGTATAAATATTCAAGTACATCGGCTTAAATGTACAGTTTAATTAATTGTTGATTGAGAAAATGAATAAAAGAGACTAATGAAGTTTTAAATGTTGTTGTTGCTATTATTATTATTATTTGTTTGAAATGTGCGAAATATCTAATATCAAGAAAAGATTAAAATATGTGATATTTTATGAAAACAGATTTTAATAATTAATTAGTTATTAATTACATTTTGGATGTTAATACTCTATTAACATTATTGATATGTTGTTGATACATATTTTATACATTTTGACAAAGATTTTTATTAGAAATTAATAAAATATCATGAGAGAATATAATTGCTGAAGATTAAATCAGTTTTAAGGCATGAACTAATATTGAGCGTGCAAACTTTCAGAAAATTTACATTACAGCCAAAAGATAAGGATGAAAAAAGCAGAGTTCATGTAGATTTAATTCTCTTGGTGAAGAGCGAACATAATCTGCGATAAATGTAATTTTTAAAGCCAGTCATTAAATCTTGTAATACATGCAGTTTTAACCTAATTGACAAAATAAATTCAATTTTTGAATTTCCATTTGAATTCATTATAAAATCGTTTTGATTAATTATGT